CATTATATAGTAAAACTGACTTTAAAAAGTTTGATGTACAGTTTATGCATTTTTACATATTTCAACGTAATTTTTACATTGAAAAATATATATATAAATATATATAAAGATATATGTAAAAAAATATATAAATATATATATATAAATATACATATATATAACAATTATATATATGTAATAGATATATTACATATATATAATATATATATATTCATGTTCATGTTTCTACCACCACAATCAGGATGCCTTTAGTTTCATCACCAGAAAGATCTCCCTTATGCTATCCCAGTCATACTTCCTTTCCTACTCCCTGGCAATCACTAATCTGTTTTCTATCACTGTCGTGTTCTCTTTCTGAGAATGTCATATAAATAGAATCTTAGAGATTCATCAGTTGATTGTATTTATCAATTGTGCATTCTCTTTCATTGCTAAGTGAGATTCCATTGCACCCTCATTACCCTCTTCCCTATACACTCTCCATCAAATCATGTATACAACCAGTGAAAAATAACTCAATCACCTTTTACCTTTTTTTCATTCCCCGCCTCTATCTCTAATTTATGCTACCTTCTGTTCTCTACAACCACTTAGCATTCACTAGGTAAACCTGTGATCTGACATAAGAACTGGGAGTCATATGTTATACTTATTTATCTTCAGGAATAGTTATAACACTTCCCACCTGGAGAAGACATTTATATTTCACCTAGGCCCCTATTCTTCCCTTTCTCTCCTGTAGTTCTCTTAGAAAACTAGAAAACATGCTAAGTTTTTTGTGGAATGATGCCTGCTACTGCCCCAAATAAACAAGGTCTTTTTCTCTACAGCTAAATCCTCTGCCCACTGCCCCCCACCACCCTGCAACTACGCTAGCTTCTAAAAACACCCAATTTTGATTACCACATAAATGTTGAATATTCCACTGTGGTCTGAGAGAGTACTTGATATAATTTCAGTTTTCTTACATTTACTGAGACTTGTTTTGTGGCCTATCATATGGTTATCTTCAAGAATGTTCCATGTGCTGATGAATAGAGTGTATATTCTTCAGTTGTTGGGTAGAATGTTCTGTAAATATCTGTTAAATACATTTGTCGTAGGATATAGTTTAGGTCCATTGTTTCTTTGCTGACTTTCTGTTTTGATGACTTGTCTAGTGCTGTCAGTGGAGTATTAAAGTTCCCTATTGTTATTGTGTTGCCATCTCTCTCATTTCTTAGGTCTAGTCGTAATTGTTTTATAAATTTGGGATCTCCAGTGCAAGGTGTGTATATATTTAGAATTGTGATATTGTCCTGTTGGAATGAGGCTTTTATTATTATATAATGTCTCTCTTTGTCTTTTTTAACTGCTATTGCTTTAAAGTTTGTTTTGTCTGATATAAGAATCCTACTGCTGCTTGCTTTTGGTGTCCATTTGCATGGAATATCTTTTTCCACCGCTTTACTTTAAGTTTTTGTGAGACCTTATGTGTTAGGTGAGTCCCCTGAAGAGAGGAGAAATTTGGTTGTTGAGTTCTTACCCGTTCTGCCATTCTGTATCTTTTAAGTGGAGTATTTCAGGCCATTTACATTCAATGTTATGAATGTAAATGAATACCTTGTTTTTTATTCATTGTGTTATTATTATACAGGTCCTGTGAGATTTATGCTTTAAGGAGGTTCTATTTTGGTGTACTCAAAGGATTTCTTTCAAGATTTAGAGCTCCTTTTAGCAGTTCTTGTAGTGCTGGCTTGGTAGTGACAAATTCTCTCAGCATTTGTCTGGAAAAGACTGTATCTTTCCTTCATTTATGAAGCTTAGTTTTGCTGGATACAAAATTCTTAGGTGATAACTGTTTTGTTTAAGGAGGCTAAAAATAGGTCTCCAATCCTTTCTAGCTTGTAAGATTTCTGCCGAGAAACCTGCTGTTAATCTAGTAGGTTTTCCTTTATAGGTTATGTGATGCTTTTGCCTCACAGCTCTTAAGATTCTTTCCTTTGTCTTGACTTTAGATAACTTGATGACTATGTGCCTAGGCAATAGGCACCCGGCCAGGTTTCCTTTTCTTGACTGCAATTCTTCATTGTGCTTTTAGCTTTCCATTGTCTTCAATCAGATACTTTTTATGCTTTTTCCAGATCTAAGTTTAGTCCACCATTATCAGAGACTTCCAATTTATTATTTAAATATCAATATGAGTAATTCTTCTGAATTTTTATCCCATCATATTTGCCTTCTTTGAAGGATCATATGAAACCACTGAAGTAACATTTAAGCCATGTTAACATTCCGGAGCTCTTTAAAAAGATGTATCTAAAGATGTATCTAATCTCAGTACTCTACTATTTTAGTGCCAAGGTTTACCAAAGAAAACAAGGACTTCTTCATAGCCTTAACTATAATTTTGCAAGTTATTATTTACCTTCCCTAGCTGCATTCATAATAACCTATACACATATTTTATTTCTCTATCTATATGTTTAATTTGTATTTGTGTTACTGGTGGAGGGTGTCCAGGTTCTTGGCATTTTGAACAAAGAATTGGACAAAATGCACAAAGAACGGGAAGAATGAAGCAGCAAAAGCAGAGATTTATTGAAAACAAAAGTATACTCCACAGGGTGGGAGCAGGCCTGAACGAGCAGCTCAAAATCCTGGTTACAGAATTTTCTGGGATTTAAATATCCTCTAGAGGTTTCCTATTGGTTACTTGGTGTAAGCCCTGTGTAATTGGAGAGGATGAAGTGAAGTTACAAACATATTTACTTGGTGTACACCCTATGCAAATGAAGAGGATGTTTCCTGACATAGCCGAAGTACAGTTACCAAGTTATTTTCTTGCTCTATAGAGTTGGGTTTTTTTTTTTCCATTTGATTTAGTTCTAGGAAGTCCTTAGGTTCCCTGCCTCTGGACCCAATTTTCCTACCTCATTTGTATAATAATTTCAGACGTTCATAAGCATGTGTTAACTACAAATTTAGCAACCTCAAAACTAGCTGAACTTGCCTTTCAACTCCTGTTTTGCTTAATGCAGAAAACTTAATTCTCCAATTCAGCAAATTATGGACTGTTTTTGTTAGTCTTTATGTGGTAAATTCACACTCAATTCTAGACTTTCTTCTTAGCATCTTGGTTTCCCCGGGGACTACAAATGTCCCAAGAAGTTATGCATTATTCAGGAAATGGAACGAAGAAAAGTTTATCTTCCCCTGTTTCATATATCCTTGCATGCAATTTTTTAAGGATTTATTTTTTAGACTAATTTGAGATTCACAGCAAAATTGTGAGGAAGGTACAAAGATTTCCCATATATTTCCTGCCCCCGCACATACATAGCCTTCCTCATTAACAACATCCTTCAGCAGAGTAGGTGGTAACATAGTGGTGAGATATGAGGGAGGCGAAGTGTTCTATAGTCCCATTGTTAGGTCTCAGGCTTTTAGTGTGCCTGTGCCGCTGGACTGTGAACTTCAGAAGTGCTTCTCAGTTCCACTTTGAGGAGATAGCTAGAGTAGGCAGGAGTTGGGTATGATCTTTTCTTCAGATTCATTAGGTTTTGATAAAACCCTGCAGGTTAGGCTCTGGTTAACTAGTTTCTTCTGAGGACAGGCCTTGTTAAGAGCAGAGTGTTGTCACCTACTTCAAAATGGTTTCTATTCTCTCTCTGCTAGAGCACAAGAGAATTTTTCTCTAATATTTACTGTGAGAATCTGATCAAGCTCCTGAAGGTAAAACTTACAAAAGTGTGTTAAGTGTCAAAAAGACTGACAAAAGGAATTACTGATTTTTCAGTCTACTGAACTTTTATTTGTTGTTTGGACTGAGTGGTGACTTCCAATCTTCTTATGTGATAAACCGAAACAGGAAGTCTGTATGCAATTTTGAGAGAGGTTTTAGTGTACATGTCCTGGTGATGCCCATTGTCTTGCCACAGTCCGTGCTTCCTGTTATATGTGTTGCATTTATTGACAGTATCCTTTCATTCCAAATCTTATTTCTCTTTCCATCTTCTAGTACTCTCTTGAATATATCTACACATCTCATATATAAGAAATTCTTGGATCTTATATGCACGAAGCTACAGTGCATAATATTTTATGAGTCCAGCCTCAGATCTAGTTACCTAGGAATATAACTCAACCATTGCTGCTCTTAACACACAATAGGCTGGAAAGGCAACTTTCCTCTTCTCAAGCTATACACTCTGGGAAGTGAGGCACAGCCCCTCCACAGTTTCTATGATCTCCCTACATCTGGGACTTTGCCTGAAATGATCACAAGGCAGCAAGATTGCATTGGCATCCAGGCTCTCTTTCTTTTTCTTTTCTTCCCAAACTCCTTTATAAAACTTGAAAAGTGTTTTTACGGCCGGGCGCGGTGGCTCAAGCCTGTAATCCCAGCACTTTGGGAGGCCGAGACGGGCGGATCACGAGGTCAGGAGATCGAGACCATCCTGGCTAACACAGTGAAACCCCGTCTCTACTAAAAATACAAAAACTTAGCCGGGCGAGGTGGCAGGCGCCTGTAGTCCCAGCTACTCGGGAGGCTGAGGCAGGAGAATGGCATGAACCCGGGAGGCGGAGCTTGCAGTGAGCTGAGATCCGGCCACTGCACTCCAGCCTGGGTGACAGAGCGAGACTCCATCTCAAAAAAAAAAAAAAAAAAAAAAAGTGTTTTTACTCTTCATTTAGCATAGAGGAACATTAGCTTTCATTTCATCAAGTATTTCTCAAAACTCTATTTTTTATAATATATGTAAGCCCATGTACTGTTGAAAAAAACTTTCTTAAAAAGTTATCTACTGCAATTGAAAATGTTAAAGATTATTATTTTTGATATAAGTTATGTAAATTGTATTTTGAAACTCAACAGGCTTCTTAGATTGATTTATAATCTGCCATTGCCCCTGAGATGATAAATGACACTGATTTAATGACTGGAGGGCCTAAGGTCAATGAGAATATAGACAGAAAAGCTACATATTTTAGTTTTAAAAATGAAAGAACATACACAGTTAAAAAAATAAGAATTGGATTTCATTAGGAATGATATAGATCTTTAAACACACAGCGCCATGGTTCTTTATAGATTGTCTTGGATAATGTCAATGATTTCATGGTAAACTTGATCATAGACATCTAATCCAAACAAAAAGTCTATATGATTGTAGTAAGAAATAGTTTTATAGTAAATGTGGTTTGTGATTTCAGAATGTAAAATTTTAACGTCTTCAGGGTCAGCCAACAAGTCACTTTCACCATTCCAAATTGCAGTTGCCACATTCATGTTTGTCACGTTGTAGAATGGAGATGTCGTCTAAAAATAAATGAATGAAAAAACAGTTTTCATAGGAGATGATACATTAGAAGGTTTTAATTACTAATTGTTTAAAATGATGAGTTTAAATACTGTTTTAAAATAAGTCAAATCTAATGGATTCAACTTAATGGACCTGTTGAAACAAAGGTGTGAAAGTATGAATAGGCATTACAAGTTTTAGTTGAAAATAAGTTATACACAAATCTAAACTAGACAGTTTGTTCCAATTCAAAATATTCAAACACTTCACAGAGATAATTTCAGTACTATTTATAAAATATGAAAGATTTTAAGTCAATTTTCTGTGGCAGTATTACTGTCAATATGTTTGTCAATAAATTATAAGTATTGGCAGTCCATGTCAACTCTGATCTCTTTGAATTTGATCTTCAAATTTTATATGAAGATCAGACTTTTATATGAACAGATCACATCAGCCTGGAGTTTAGCTGAGGCAGAAAAGTATGGAGGAAAAGCATAAACTTTGAAGTCAGACAGACTTGGGTTCTAGTACTTCAATAATTTTGTCATTATACAATTTTTACCACATCTCATTGACTTCGAATTTTTCCTAATTATTATATATGTTTTCTCATCTTTTCAAATAGAATAACTGGTTTTAGGGTCAATAAATATGTTATGCCTTTTATTTCTCATTTAACCAAGTGTAAAGCTATGGATATAAAAAAACACAGTATTTTTCCTCTTGAGAGACTTTAACTTCTTCTACTGCCTGTCAACTTTTCTAGACTTATCCAGGATATTTGTTGTTAAAATACGTAGAAAACATAGAAAAGTCACTTTGGTTGGATGTGACAATATGTATCCAAATAAATATTATCTTCATCTGCTGGTCCTTATTAGTGTGTTATTGTACTCTGGAGATTTACAGTTGATCCTTGATCTATAGAAAAGTTATCTAAAAAATCAGGAAGGCAGAGAGCTTTTATAGAGAATTATGTACCTGATTATAATGAACCAAGTTCAGATCAGGACTGCCCCAGTCATAAGCTTTCAAATGAGTAGAATTTAAAAGCTGAAAGAGAAACAAAAAAATAAGACCATATCATTTGTTCATTACAGTGGCAGCTGAGCAAGTTAAGCATGCAATGCAATATATACCCCCGTTGTACTGGGTCTGCTGGTATTTATGCAGGTGGGCTTCTTTGTTCTTCTTTTCCTTTGAGTAGAGAAATAAATGGAAGGGGTTGGAGATTGGAGCAGGGGAATCTAAAGAAATAATTCCATTGTCTTTATATAAATGTACGTATACCCAAGGCTTTTTTCTACCCAGAGGGGGGCCTCTTTTGGGAGAAGTAACATCAGGCTCCCTCAAATCTTCAGCTTCATCAACAGAGGTCAACACTGAGTGTCTTGCACTAAGACTAAGATAACACCCACCTAAAACACTTTGCTTCAAACAATAGGGCTCAAGAGTTTGTCCCAGAAGTCATTTTTTTCTTCACCCCTTTACACTCACAGCCTCACCACCACTTTCTGGCCAAGGTTACTTATGACCTTGATATTTCTAACACTTTGATCAATTTGGAGGAATTTTCTCATGTTATCTGTTGGCAGCATTTGACATAGTTGTTCATTCCCTCATCCTTGAGATCTTTCCTTTACCTAGCTCCTAGAATACCACAATTTTTTGATTTTCATTTTTACTTGCTATTCCTTTTCAGCTTTGTTTAGCCAATTTAGTTTCTGCCACCTGACCTGTTAATCTTTTCCGATCTCAGTACCCAATCCTTTCTCAAAAGGATCTTGCTTTTCTGTCTATACTCACTTCATTTGCATTCTCACCCCTGGCTTTTTGTATTCTCACTCTCTTGGCTTTACATGTCATTTATATTCAAAACGTTTACCTTCTTTTGTAAGTCTTTCCTAAATTCTAGGCTCCTATATACAACTGCTTACTCAACGTCATCACTTAAATATTTAAAACTTATTTTACCTTTCCTCCATAACCTTCATCATCAAACCTCCCTATCTCCTTTAATGGCAATATTACCTTTTCCTTATGTAAGTCAGAAACTTTAGAATCATCCAAGACTCTCTTTCTCTCTCACCTCTTATAGGGTCCTTCATTAAACTTTGTTGCCTGCATGTTCATGATATACATATGTTTATTCAGACTCCTTTCACTTTCACCATCTCTGCTGTCAACACATCAGTCCAAACAATTGTCATTCCCATTTGGATTATTGCAGTAATTTTCTAACTCTCTCACTGCTTTCACTCTTGTCCTACTATAGTCTACTCAACATAGCAGCCAATGTGTTCCTTTTAAAACTGTAAACTATGTCATATCACTTCCCTGCTCAAAATCATGCAGTGCCTACTCACTTCACACAGAGTGAATGCCAAAGTCCTTACAATGACATGCAGATCCCTGTCTTACTCATTATTTTTGCCTCCTTTCGCTAAGTTTCCATGTTCCAAATGTCACCATCTCACTAAACCCTGGCCTAACCTTTCTATTCAAAAGTACAACCCACTTTTCAGCATGCCTAATACCTTTTCCCTACTCTTTTATCCCAATTTCTCCATAGTTCTATTCCCTTCTAACACATTATAATAGTTTTTAAAGTTGACATGGTTACTATTTATTATCTGTATACCTACTAATAATATGTAAGCTTGAGGATGACAGGAGTTCTTGTTTTGTTCACTGATGTAGCCCATGAACACAGAATAGTATAGACACATAGTAGGTGTGCAATAAATATTGTTACAATGGATAAATAATTGCAAAGATTGTTTAGATTTTTCTAGTCTAGCCATCACCAGAGAATAAAGTATAGCTTATCTTACCTAAATATAAGTTACAATAAATGTTTTCAGCAAGTTATACCAAATCAATTACACTATAGATTTAAACTTTTTGTAAATGAAAAAGCCTTACCCAATATCTTAACCATACTTTAAAGTTACCTAGTGTTTATTAACTTTAATGAACATTTATAATCATTAGCCTTTTCAATTCTTACAATATTTTTCTTAGTCAAATCAGATAATTATTAATTTCACTTTAAAAATAAAGGAAACTGATTCAGGAAGATTAAATGAGATGCTGAATGTCACCCTGCCACTAAGGTCCAGAGAAAGGTTTTAATTTCTGGTCTTTTGATCTGAGAAAAGTGTTCTTTCTACTATGTTATCCTGGTTTTCAACATTCAGACTGCATTCACAGTGTTTTGTTTTTAATCAATATCATTAATTGAACAAATATTAGTTGAGTATCTACTATATGCTAAGAACTGTTGGCCTTGGAAATACAAAAGTGAACAAACTTTTCATGGTCCTCAGGAGTTAACAGTTTAACAGAGGAGAAAGTGCAGTCTAGTGAAAGCGTTTCAGAGTAGGCATCAGGATAACTAACTGTGTTCCAGTCAGATTTTTAAAAGTGGAATAGTTTTCAAGCATTGGGCAAATCAGTTGTGGGACATGGCCTAGATAATCCCTAGTCTGCTGTTGTAACATTTTCTCATTTGTAAAACTGATGTTTATATTGCTGTAATATTACTTAGGTTTAGAGGATTTATTAAATGATGATACTAACATTTTATTTTTATTTATGTATTTCTTTATTTTTGAGACAGAGTCTTACTCTGTGCAGCAGTACAATATTGGCTCATTGCAACCTCTACCTTGTGGGTTCCAGCGATTCTCCTGTCTCAGCCTCCCAGGTAACTGGAATTACAGGCATGTGCCACCATACACGGCTAATTTTTGTATTTAGTAGAGACAGGGTTTCACCATGTTGGCCAGGTTAGTCTCAAACTCCTGACCTCAGGTGATCCACCCACCTCGGCCTCCTGAAGTGCTGGGATTATAGGCGTGAGCCATTGCACCTGGCCTCAATATTTTATAAACTATAAGGAATTATAGAAATATATAATAATTTTATTTTATCCTTATAAATTTATTACTCTATGGCCATGGTATGATCCCTAGAATAATGAGGTAAACCATGAGTAGCGTAAATTAAATTGTATTGAAATGCACTTTAGCAGTTATACCTGACTCCAATGGAGCATATTTTGAACAGATGTTCCTGCTGGGTTGTGTGAAAAATACACATCCAAACGACTCTGAGGGATCAAAAAAAAAAAAGCATTTTTATATTAGTTGAATCATAGAAAGCATAATCTCTTAATATTTATTGAACTAAATTATTTCAAGAAAATTAGGTTATTTTAAAATTAATATTAATAAACAAATCATCAAATTGTATTTTAATTAAATATACAAATGTACTTATTCAATTGTACAATTTTTACGTTAATATAGACGCTATTTTTGAATTTCTAAGTTATTTGGTCTGTCACTCACCCTACTGAAAACAATCAAATGTGACTGACACAGGCCTATACACACACATACACAAACACCTTTTGAAAGCATGAAAGAACTAACAAGATAGAAGTAAATTACTAAAATAAATTGAGGAGAGAAATAAAGAACCCCCAAAGACAAACAAAGAACCAAAGTCACTTTGTTTAAGGTTGTCAGTCACAGAGAACGTGAAGTTTCATTTTGAGACCTTAGCTTGTTGAAAAAAACAAAAAATCAAAGTTTAAGGCCTGTCAAAGTTGAAAGATTTTAAAAGAAACACTCTCCATAAGGGCCTCAAATTCTATAGTGCTCAAGGTAAAGCCATGATGTTAATCTGCAATCTATATTTGCATTGCCTAGATAGTCCCTGGGAACCTCAGTGAACCAGACATGTAGAGTACTGATCTCAAAGTGACCTCAGGTGCCTTGAAAAAGCAAGCAAGATTTATTTCCACAAGAAGAAAAGGCCTGTCTTACTATCTAATTCTTGGTAAAAATTTCTCAAAATCAGTTAACTCTACTCAGTCAAAGAAAAGCAAGTATATGAAGAGAGAAGTATCATGTAAGAACAAGCAAAAATGAAAAAAATTATTTTAAAAAACCTCACAAATATTTTTTATGATATCGGATGCAAACTATAAAACAATTGTTCAGGTTTACAGAAACTGTAAAGCAACCACCAGAGGACAGGAACCTGAAGAGAATAAAAATACAAGAAGCAAACCTTTCATTAATCCCAACTTTCATCCTGTGGATTTTCCAATACGGTGCAGGGAATTAGAGCCAAACAGAGTATGGCAGCCTTGCTGGGCAGAAGAAACAGAAATCGATCTATGTGGGTGCTATGGAGTTGGACTAAAGGCCATAGATTGCCAGGAGAAGTAGTCTCCTGAATTAACGAAAAGTGAATAAAATAAGCCCAACCCTAAAAAGTCTAAAAATGGGCACTGACAATTAGCTAAATGAGCCAAAACTCTTGAAAGGGTAACTGCCATGGTTTGAATGTTTGCTCCCTCCTAAACTCCTGCTGGTTGCCATTGTGGTGGTGTTAGGTGGTGGGATCTTTGGGAGGTGATTGAGCCATAAAGGCTCTGCCCTCATGGATGGGATTAATGCCATTATAAAAGGGTGTGTTTGAGGCTGGGGATAGTGGCTCACACCTGTAATCCCAGCAGTTTGGGAAGCCGAGGTGGGTGGATCACCTGATGTCAGGAGTTTGAGACCAGCCTGACCAATATGGCGAACCCCATCTCTACTAAAAATACAAAAATTAGCCAGGCATGGTGGCATGCATCGGAAGTCCCAGCTACTCAGGAGGCTGAGACAGGAGAATTGCTTGAACCCGGGAGACAGAAGTTGCAGTGAGCTGAGATCGCACCACTGCACTCCAGCTTGGGTGACAGAGCGAAACTCCATCTCAAAAAAAAATAAAAAATAAAATAAAATAAAAGGGTGAGTTTGGTTCCCTTTTGCTTCATTGTTGCTTCTTTGCCCTACACCTTTCATCATGTGGTGGCACAGCAAGAAGGTCATTGCCAGATGTCAGTGCCTTGATCTTGGACTTCCCAGCCTCCAGAAGTGTGAACCAATACATTTCTGTTCATTATAAATAACCCAGTCTTGGGTATTCTATTATAGCAATACAAAATGCACTAAGACAGTAATTTAACCAAGAGAATGTGCAGCATACTATTCCCAGTACCCTGCATTCAATCCTAGTCACAGAGTGAAACAGGAAAACATAGCCAACAATAAGGACATAAAATAATCAGCAAAAGCAGATGCAGAGATGCTGCAAACATTAGAGTTAGCAAAAGCTTTAAAATAAAGTATGATTAATATGTTAAATAAAATATTTTTTAAAGTTTAAAATGGTCATAAAGGAAGAATATTTTAACAGATAATTAGAATTTATTTTATAGTCAAATGGACACTCAAAATAAAAATATAATATATAAACGTTAAAATTTATTAGATGGATTTAAAAGCAGACTATACACAGCAAAAGACAGGATTTTTGAACTCAAATTCAAACCTATATAAAATATTCAAACTTAAGCACAAAAAAAAAAAAAAAATAGAGCAAGGAAAGATGTTGGCCACTGTCAGGTGGTCCAATATTTTGAAAGAAAAAAAATAATTGAAATATTAATGGCTGAGAATGTTTAAATTTGATGAAAGAAGCTCACTGTGTCCCAAATGGTGAATCCCAGTTAAACTGGTATAAAGTGTTTGCATTATTTAGGATGTGGATATAAACACAAATTTAATGTAAGTAATAATACATGATACATTTTATAATTTCTAAGAGAATAATAAAGAATATTTTTAAAGCTGTAACTAAATAAGATAAAATAAAATATTAAAAAGTATTTCAGAAACACAAAAGTAGTCAAGAAATGTGAAATAAAAAGAACACCAGATAGGACAAATCAAAAGCATATAGCAAGATGATAGCCATAAATCTAATCTTAATAATTATATAAAAACAAATTTAGTAAATACCATAATCCAATTAAAAGGCAAAGACTGTCAAAATGGATTTGAAAATATTGTTAATACACATATATGTGTATATATGTGTACATATATGTGTATATATGTACATATATATGTATGTATGTGTACACATATACACACATATACACATATATATACGTAGAATATTAATCAACCATAGAAAAAAAATTCTGCCATTTGTGACAGCATAGATGAACCTGGAAGGCATTAGTAAGTTAAATAAGCCAAATAGAGAGAGACAAATACTCTATGATATCACTCTATGTAGAATATTAAATAAATAAATAAAAGGATGAACTCATAGAAACAGAGTAAAATGATGGTTGCTAGGGTCTTGCAGGTGGGAAAAATGGGGACATGGTGGTCAAAGAGTATAAACTTTCAGTTATATAGTAAATACATTTTCAGACCTAATGTACAGCATGGTGACTAGTTAATAATACTGTACTGTATGCTTGAAATATGCTGAGAGAATAGATCTTAAGCATTCTCACCAAAAATGTGACTATGTGAGGTGACAGATGTGTTAATAACTTGATTGTGGCAATTATTTCACAATGTATTTATTTGTCAATTGTACCTCAATAAAAAAGAGAAAATGTCTTTTGTTTTCATTGCCATTCAGGCTACTTGAAACTGTCAAAAATAAAGTTCTGACTGAACAATGTTAAATAGCCTGTACAGAAATTTTTAACAGAAACATTCTGTAATTAAAACTCAGATATTTATTATGTCCTCTAATTATAATTATTCTCTGTGTTTGAAATAAGCTCCAATATAATGCTTAGTTTTCTGGTACACTCCAGATACTCCTTCCATCATGGGTCACTACTGTTTACCTTAATGTAGGTCAGAGGCTTATACAACCTAAATTGCATTGTTCTGTTCATCCTTCCATATGAAGAAGTGCACAGTAGCTTTCATAAACACCTGTCAGGCCTATCTGTGAGCAATCTGAAATGTTTACCAGAGTCTGTACTTCACCTTTATCAGAAAGATAAGAAGGAATCCATTCCCTGAAAGGGACCTAAATAATAACCACGCACCCTTGACAGCTGTACTCAGATATCTCAGGCTCATTTCCCCTCATAAGAGTTAGAATTTTTTTTTGTAAATCATCATCAAAAAATCATAACACCTGGACAAGGTCAAAACTTTGGTTGTTTGAGGATACATTTTCCAAGTCACATTGTGAGCATTTTTGTCATCTGTTTTTCCTTGCATCATGACTTGCTTTCAGTTCTCACAACTTGCTTTCAATTCTCTGGTTGGTTTTCCTTTTTACAAACTACCAGATTCTTTTTTGGTTTTTCATACTGGCTCTAAGCAAACAATTTTAAGCCAGACCCTACTTCCTCCACAGATCTTGCTAGGCTCAAGAGACTGATTCAAGCTGAACCACAGTTTCACAATTAACTATTTCCAAACACACTGTGCGTGAAAATTTTCTACTTCCAACTTCCTACAATTCCAGTTAAATTAAGACACAGTCATATTACAATCTACAACACTGTCAACTTCTGTTGCAGAAGAAATGCCACAGTTTTGAAGGCTAGAAAACCAGAGTATAAGCTTTTCTAATAATTTACACACAAAAAAAGAGTTCTCAGAGACATCACATTATAATTACAAAAAATATAGAATTGGCCAAATATACTACCTAAAACATAGAATGAATGGATAAGTAAAAATAAACATTGTATTTATGATTCTTCCAGGCCTCCCATAGTAGGTGCTTAGCACTAGATGAACGGAAAAATATGAAAAAGAGGAAATACGGAAGTAATCCTTTTTGCCTTCTCTGGCAGAAGGTACATTGCTCATACCTTTATGGGTGGAAAAGATGAGAACTGAGTTTCTTAGAGCATTCTGAAAATAAGATAAGGTTGAACAAAATCAACAAAGTCAACAAACATGTCCTTGTGGCATAAAAGTGTGTTTGGGAATTAAGAGAATACCTCTCTTTCTTTGAATGTCTATATTGGCTCTCTTTGAGAAGCTCTTAAAAGGTCCAGGTACAAGAACTAACCTCTAGTCCAAATGGCATATTTGCTTCTGCCAAATCTGCATCTTTAAATAATGTGATGAGAAATGCTTAGAATGAATGCCTATATCCTTAAGAGAACCTATACACAATCAATCCAAAGGTTTTGGTAATAGTACCTTGAGTACCACAATGGTTTCCCACTCCAAGAGTATTGATAAAAGCTAGAAACTTAAAGATAATTGGCAGGCACTAATTCTAATTATGGAAGGATCAACAAGGATGGGAAGGAGTATTAGGAATCAGCAGGAGGAGTTATGGAGTTACCGGAAACAACTGAATAGAAGAGGACTAAATCTTAGAAGTCTCAGGAAACTAATTCCCAGTAGCAAAGGTCAATAAAGATACCCATCACATCAGCTGCTCTCGAATATTTACAGACAACAAGACAAATATGCAAGTAAAACAATCCTAGCATGTTAATGCAAGTTAGTTGTACAATGTTGGTATAGTCATAAAATCAGATAGGCTAAGAATCTGACTACTAGTGTATGTGGATGAACCACAAAATGACACAAGGTATAACACAAGCACTATTATTATTACACTTTTCAAATATTGGAAAATATACATATTTCAAATTCAACTTGTTCTTACCATATTTAAGTTTTTTGAGTCATATCCAAACATCATAAACAAGATATTGAGGCAAATCTTATCAAAAATCTGTAGTGGACACAGCTTTGAACCAAAGAATTTTTTAAATGAGGTTTTAGGCAAGAAGTCTTTGTTGCCAAAAAAAGCCTGTAAAATAAATTTATTTTATCCACATTTGGATGACCACAATAAGTGCTAAAGAAATGTTATCGTAATTCACTATGTATAAAACCAAACAAATTATCTCACAGTAGTTTGAAAATTTCAAATAAAGGAAAAAACTTGGAAGCAGGGTGGTTTGGCCACTGGATTTCCTCTTACAGTGAGGTTCTAAAGTTATAATAAGTAAAATTGTATTCCTTTGTAGAAACAAAGGCAAGAATCTAGTGTAAATGAAACCAAAAATTTCAATTCATACTTGTGGTTGTCTAAATATAGTCAAGATCTCTTATTTGAAAGCATACCATTATCACTTTGGGTTATCAATGACATAAATAAAGGTAGAACATACCTTGACTATTGACTTCCATTTATATGTCATTCTAACTAAAGGACTTTTTAAGTACTTTGTGGAAAAAACTGGTGCTAAGGCAAAAAATATTTTGATTCTTTCAGCTATCTTTGGTATAGTAGAAAATGTTATGAAACCTAAAATAAAATAAGATATAAATTAGTAAGCTATTCTTAAGCAATTACTAGCATGTAAGAGATGACACCAAGGAGAATAAGAGTAAGTTCAAAAATAGTTTCTGAACAATTAACTATTTCTTAATTCACCTATCAAACATTTTTAAATCACCCAGTATATTGTAATATATTGGTCATAATATAATGCAGATAATTCAGGTTTCTACAGTGTATAGACCATAAAGAATGATACTTTAGCAATAAATCAGACATGTAACACCACAGTTTAAAAATCAGGAGCAATATTGAACATTTTTTATAACTTGCAAAGGTGAAAATGAAATATGTGAATTTTCAGACAGGTGAATTTTACACTTTAGGTGACAGGCTCAATAAATGTCCCATTGTTTTAACATTTATCTTCAATATATTTTAAAATTCCTTATCATCTTATACAGAGGATACTAAGCATCTTATTTTATTGGTAGTTTTGAGGCATTAATGTGAAAATAGTCATTTTTCCCTTTGCCGTCTTATCAAGCTATCTACTTACACGTCAATATTCTGATAGATTATTTATTTATTAATTATTTATTTACTTAGGTCAGGTTCTGAGAAGCCAAACAACCAAAGAATTATATATCATGTGATAAGTCAACAAGCTCCGACACTCATTACTCATTTTTTTTCTTATTTCTACATTTTCAGGCATTCCTGGTTTTAGATAATTGAATAGTTGATGAGAATTTGGACTAAAAGTCACATACATGGTTAATACATGTCAGAGAAAAGATCTGTAGAAAATGGGATTAGATTGTTACTCAACATGCTTTTTGTAGTAGGAAGTGGATTATTTCTATAAGAAAATTACAGTCTTCAGCTTAGAAACGATTTACTTAATATTAGCTTCTATTATAAGATGGCTTTTTCTCCCTGTAAAGTAGAATAACATGAGTAAAGAGGTTTATAGTACCATGCAAGAGAATTATGTTAGGTCATAGGTAATTTATTTCTGAAAGTAAAGTTGTTATATATTAGACAGGCATTAGAGTTCTGATTAAAGTTCTTTTCTAGTCATGTTTAAATATAGAAAGAATTCCCTGATTTTTGTGCATTTCTTAAGTTTGATCAGTCCTAAATGCAAAAACATACATAGGTTTTCATCTTTCCCACTCATAAAATCCTATGCTACATTTTTGAAAGGAAAAACAATATGAAAGTTCTATTTGTAGAACACATAATAATGGCAATCTCACTTTGATCTTAAATAACATAGATATCCAACTTTTATACAATTTGAAACAAACAAAACCACAACCAACCTTGTCTTTACAGTGAATTCCTTGTGACTAGAGAAGCCTCCGTGTGGGATCAAAGCAGCATGTAAGATTCCAGGGCATTCTGCTATACTATGTTTGTCTCACAGTGTTTGTTTTACTTACAGGTCTAGAAGCTTATCTACAACTTTAACAAGTATATGCATAACCTGAACAAAGAAATTAAGGGATATTAGCAATAATCTTTCTTGGCATACCAATAGTAGTACCCTGTGAATGGCCTACATAAAATATTTCCTCTTGTCTGGTTTGCTTCACAATGAAATCAATGGAGGCTGGAAGGTCATATTTTGCCATCTCGTCAAAACTACAAAAGAAAGAGGAAAATAAAAATAGCACTTTCTACTAATGCTATGTTAATATTTGAAAATAATGAATAGGTAAATGAATAAAGGCAATTTTCTACTGTCTTTTGTTATTAATCAGGAAGTTATATGGTATAATTATCTTCTAAATAGAGACTTCTGTGGGAACTCAAAGTCAAGGAAATAAAATCACAAGGCAGTCTTATAAAGAGGGTGTTTGTATATGAAAAATAGAATAGGGTAGACAAAATATATGAGTTATAGAGTAGAAGAGTAGTCAAAGGAAGGATAGGGTTGGTCAGTAAGGTACTAAGTAAGAAATAAAGATTATTGCTGAAACATAAGTAACAAACTCAAAATCACACAAGTACTCTTTAACTTTCAAGCCAAAATTCACATAAATTTTAATGGTCTATGGAAAGTCCTAAATTGTGAAAAGAGTAAGACCTAAATTTTATTTTATTTCATTCAAATTGAAAAATTTGTATACACTTATAAAATGAAATGTTACTTCATTTTATTTGTACCTGAAAGCCCAGAATTCTTTGGAATTCGTTTCCAGGTACAAGTGTTTCCTGGACCAGGTATTTCCTCTGCTATTTCCCATCCACACATCATAACCAGCATCTGCCAGAATGAAGCCCAGACTATTGTTGGGAAGATTGGAAATCCAGCTGCTGGCAGATGTAAGCAAACCATGTTGCAAGTATACAACAACCCTCTGAGCTGAAAAAAAAATGTAGAAAATTCTTTATAAATTTTGTGGTTATCTATATGAAAATCTCTTATATGAAATTCAAACTTTTAGTACATGATAGTTTAAAGTTTTTAAAGATTCTTTTCATAAGTAGGGTAAGTTACTAAGATTTAATCCCATTGTATGACAGAGCTGTTTAATACAGTTCACTAACGGTTGTCTTTCAAATAACCAAGTGAGCAATTAGGTCACATCACACTTAAATATATACATTTTAGTGAGAGAGAATAATCAAACATTTTATAGTAATTCGAGCACTCATACACATTTTAAGTAATACATTTTAAATAAGGGATCAATTACATAGCAAAGTTGACAAATCATTGGCACATGGTCACGGTATTCACTGGTCCTACCATATAACTCCCATCAAGAGGCTGCCAACCTGATAGAAAAATGAAACAAGCCCTTGAATGCTCAGTAAAAGCCAGCCAGGAAAAATCCAGCTGAGAGATGACATCCTGTAAGCATGGGCACTATCCTTCAGGAATTATTGTACATCTTTTAAAAATGGTGAGAATATATTTGTGATAACCCAATAAGTAGAACACAGGAGTCTGAGGAACAAGAGCTTGCCATCACTCCTAGGAACCCACTTAGGAATCTGTTCTCACAGTTTCAGCCTCTGCATCTCTAGAGGCCCTGGTCTCCAGAGAGAAAATGCTACCACCAAGGCACTGTGAGCATCCTAACAAACTTAAAGCTATGACTACTGCCTGGTCACTGTGGGCTCTTCATTACTGAAGACCAGGAAGTTCGTTGACCCTTATCATCATAAGAAAGTAGGTCTGCTGATACAAAATGAGGAAAGGGAGAAATACATTTGCTCTTCAGGTGATCCACTGGGTCATCTTTTCCTACTTCTATGCCCAGTTTTAACTGTACACGAACAAGTACAACCATCATCTGATATGAATATGTTAGCCCCTAGGGATGAGGGCCTAGCTTACCCTATCAGGCAGGCTAGCTGAGAGGTAGAGAAAGCTAGAATAGATTATGGATGAGGACGTTTATGAGTACAAGTTACGGCCTTCGGTTGCTTTTTAAGGGTTTCCTATTGCTCATCAGGCAAGCTAGCTAAGAGGTAGAGTAGAGAAACCTAGAATGGATGGTGGAGGAGGACATTTATGAATACTAGTTATGGCCCTAGTATTGCTTTTGAAGGGCTTACTATTGCTCCATTCTCGGCCAAATTGGAACTGCCTCACCTAAGAGATCACACCTCCTTCTAGGGGTAGCCTTCAGGCAATGATTAACTGACATAGGAACACAAAAAGCTGGCTCTCTAATCTCAAGGTGGAACCACCTCTGTAGTGTAATTTTTATGGGAACCTTGAACTTCTCTGAGATCATTTTTTAGCTAGCCCCAAGCTGAGTCATATTATATTACTCCTTAACTCCTTACCCTACTTTATCCTAATTTCCACGTTACTGCCTCCTGACAGTATTTCACCAATCAGTCACATGTACCTGAACCCCTCTCTCAGACTCTGCCTTTAGAGCACTCTAAGGCACTTGCTGTGTTTTAAAATTATCTTTAAATCTTTAATACAGTACTTGCAAAATGAGGTCTTAGCTTGGGGGATAAATAATATTATTATATAAAATCTATGTTAAGATTTTCTGCTACTGGGTGTAACCTTTATAAATATGCAAAATTATGTTAATTAAGGTCATTTCAAATTAATATCCTCTCTGAAGTGTACTTTAATGTTCAAAATAACTTGAGAGGATGCCCTATAATATAAGAAACATTCTATTTTTTTCACATTCTGTTTCCTTCTGAAAGAAACATACTTTCAGGAAGAAAAGCTAAGGAGAAAAGAAAATACTTGGCTTTTATTTGGGTAATTATATGAATAAGCAAAAGTAATCCATTACATATTCTACTAGTGAGTGGCAGATCTAGGATTATACCCCAGATCTCCTAACAAATTCCAGTGCATTTTTCACCACACTCTAATGATTCAAATGTACTTACTGTTGGAATAAAGAGCCCTGAGGCTGCTACCAACCTCATCTCTCTGCTGTTTCTAGCGGAGAGAATGACAAAGACGAAGAAGGAAATTTGCACCAGCCTTTCTTCAAAATCTAGAGCATAATAATGTTATTGTGTTTCACAGCATTTCTAATTTCTCATCAGAAAAAGAAAATTTTAGAGAATCAACATGTAAGAGCCAAGTGATCCACAAAAGAAACCTGGGAAGAACAGCTTGTGTTCCATCACAACCTCTCTGTGACCAGAAGGCCAATGTATCTTCTTGCGTGTCTCTTCTTGTGGCATGTGGGAAGACACATGGGAAGTTGAGTATTCACTTAATCTTAAGGTGCTTTTCTTGTCCTACATTCTCCATCAATTAGAACAATTAAGAACTTCAGGCCCTAGATGGTCACCAATCCATCTTCAATTGAATATTACCTAGATTTTTATTATTGTCTGTCCTCCCATAAGGAATTCTATAAAGGCCAAGGATATAACCATCTTCGGTTACAATATCATATTCTTCATCAGGGTAGCCCCAGTAGGAAATAATCTGGCTCTAGATAAAGAAAAAGCAAATCTTTTAGCATAAAATTGTTATCAAATAAAGTTGAATGGTTTGCCATTTCTAACGCATTATGTGATAATGAACCTTGGTGTTCTCTCTCAACCTCAGGCCTATCTATTTTTATTTTCACTAATTTGCTGATTCATTCAGTTAATAAATATTTGTAAACACCTACTGAGCAGCAGTTTTATATACTAGGGATTGAAAGAATAAAACAAACAAACAAATAAACCCCCACCCTCAAAGAGATATCTCAAGAATATTTTCTTTTTTAACTACTAGTCTCTCATACTTTTACCTACCCACCTATACACAATTTAAAAATATACATGCATCCATAAATGTTTGCATGTCTATGTGTATATCTAATCTTATATCTGAAATTTGTATATATGTAAATATATAGAGAAGGAGGTATATATTCATACCCTCATATATGTGAATATATATTTCAAATATGTGAAGGTATGAATATATTTACACATTTTTCATTACAAAGATAGAATAAGGCTGAAGGAGAAACTAAGCTATAGAATAGCAGATGAGAAACAACATACAGAATGTGAATATAGATATGTACATTTGACTGTAAATCTATTAAATTAAAATTCCAAATTTGAAGAGTAGCATTCTCTGTTATTTTGGCAGTACAGATTTATTTTCTAACAACTTACAATATTCATATCTGCTTCAGGGTTTGCAGATCTTTGATTTTGAAAGACACCATGGGTAATTCGAAGAATTCGGATAAAATACATCATTGTGAAAAGATACCACATTTGGGACCTATATATAAAAGGAAGATGTTTATACAGTTAAAATTGCGCAAATTATACCATTTATAAAACTGCAGCAAATAATTCTGTGAGGTAGGAAATATTACTGTTTTCAGGTGAGGAAACAGAGGCTTCGAAGAATTAAATAACTTGGCTAAAACCATACAATGTATAACTGGCAGTCAGAATTCAGATTCAGGACTGCTTAATTTCAAAGTCCATGCTTTTCTGGCTACCCTATTTTGTGGATAAATTCACTCTCAGAAGTCTCCATTATAGTATTATTCAGCCCAATTCTGAGAGCTTTATCATGTATTACAAATTAAAAGAAAGGGTAGATTTGGAAGCTTGGATAACTTTCATTCAGCAACTCATTTTATTTTTTTTACAGATTGGTGATTTTTGAATCTCCTAAATTCTACGAAGGCAGAACTCTTAAGTTTTTTCTTAAAACAATAAACCAGGGACCCACAGAGGCTGCCATCCAGATTCTCCCCCAAAAAGCATGACTTACTAATCTTATGAGCCTTGTATAATAAGCCAACCACTATATCTAGAAGGATACAATCCAAGGATTATAAGACCCCTACCTTCGCCACTCACTAGCTAGGTGACTGAAAGCAGATTACTTAACCTCTCTGATCATCAGTTTCCCTGCCTACAAAATGCAACTAATACCTACTTCTCAGGATTGTTATAAAACTTAAATTTGATCAATGTGATATGATGTTATCGGTGTAATGCCTGTCATATAGCTGACATTAATATGTAACAATCCTCCTTATTCAAGAGAACAAATTACAAGCAATTTAGGGACATAATTTACATGCACATAATTGATATGTCTTTCTTATACATTTATTAGTCCAGTTTCCAGTGCACTGATAACTTGAAAAAAAAATATGTAGCTCTGAAAGTTTTAAAGTGTATTCATTTTTTAAAAAACACTTTCTAACTTAAAACTTTAATTTACAGAAGCTGCACTTCTCTCCTTTGGTCCAAGTATTTATATTTGGTATAATATCTGTGGTTTTCATTGAAGGCAACAGCAAAGTTTAAAACAGCATTACCAATATCTTCTACCACAGAGAAGCCCAAGAGCTGCTAATTTAACTGCACGTAGAAAAACTTTAAAACATTTGGAATCACATTTAGATATTCCTCTTTGGTTGTATTCTTGGAAAAGTGCTCAGCAGGCAGCAAGTCTACTCAGTCCTCTGTCCTCATGGGCTGTCTCAGATAAGTATATGGAAATAGCTTGGGAAGGAATACGTTCTCTGTCTGTACATGTGTTAACTATATGTATTACTACACACTGCTTGCTTTCTAGCTGAGGTTTTAAAATGCTTTGCATTATTTCTAGAAGGAATGTATAGACTATCATCTGAAACAAGATATCTTTTAAAATAAAATTCTATTGATAATTATCTTGGGAAAATAGGCATACTCTGGACTGTTCCAGGCATGTAGGTTATGACTGCCCAATTTATAGCCTCAAATATTTACCCAAATTTTAATATTTTTATACAAAGGAAACACAGAAGTATAAGCCTTTGACATATAGTTGTGGTATGCCTAATAACCACCAATGGGAAATGAAATGAAATTAACTGAATGAAATTAACCTTATTATTTGCAATGACTCATCAACCACACAAAGCAACTAGTGAAAAAGTTCACCAAAGTCTAGAATATGGCCATTGAGCACTTGAAATGTGGCCAGTGAGAAACTAAATATTTTATTTTAGTTAAATTAATTTTAATATGAAAGCTAAAGCAGTGTAAAATATTTTTCTGTTAAATACAACTTTAAATTTTTATAAGATTTTCTGTATTGTTAATCCCAATTCAAGATTGTCTTGAAACAAAAGCAATACTTGTCAAATATCCCATAACTGAAAACAAGAAAATGGCAGGATGACATGTTTTTTCATCCATATCATGCTGAATGGAAAAGCTCATTTATTACCTTAATAAACAGCTACTAGACTTTACGTTGAAATGAAAACTTTCCATAATGCAATTCAATAATAATGATGTACACATTTTTCTAACATGAATCAATATGCAGATTTTAATTCTAAACAGCAGCATTTATATAAATTGGCTACAAAACTACAAGAAAAATAGTTGATATTAATAAATTGAGTTGCTTTGCAACTCAAACTTGAATTTGATATTAATAATTTTAAGTTGACATGAGCTATTTAAATATACTTAACTTGAAGAAATAGAGTTTTTAAGTTGATACATTTTTACTTCAAAGTCTAATCAATTTTTCTAAAAAAGATAAATAATTTTGTCATAGTACATGCAAATATAAGAGAAAATGATTTATTGATAGTCAATTCAGTTACTGAAACTTTTAAATATGTTTCAAACAATTTAGGTATGTGAAACTACTGTTGTAGATGTAAATTTTATGAAATCCAAAAACACCTCAAGTGTGTCTAATACAAATTTAGCTCCAGAATTAAGATCTTTTATATATGTAAAATACACTCTGGATTTTGAAGGTTTACAAAAAAGGATAATGTAAACTATCTCAACAATAATTTTTCTAATACTTACATGTTGAAATAATAATTTGGATAAAATGGTTTACTATTTATTAAGTTCATGCAAGATATCATAGAAGTAATCACCACTACTAGATTAAAATATTACCTTGGCCTGTAAACCTTGTACCTAATGGAGCAGGTAATCATTATTACTTCACTTTAAGTTACTTGCCATAATTTTCCAACCATGCTGGCTACCTGGTGAGATATTATTCCATGGCGCAAATCACTGGTGCTTTGCTCTGCTGAGAGGCAAACTTTCATAAGGCAGTCAAAGATGAAAGTGTGTAAAAAAGTGCAGTTTTGTACCATAGCACTAAAACTGGAGGTTGCCAGAACTTTAAATAATGATTTTTAAAAGCTGTCACCCATTTAGCAAAAGTACTTAAACAAAATATGCAGATATCAAATATCTGTAATATTAAATAGAATTTCCTAAAAGATGACTTGACAATTATGTTTCTTTAACTTCTGCCATTAAAATGATTAGTTTGACTCTAGGTACAACACACAACAATGAAAAATATTATATCATACCTTTCTGCTTTTGTTGATTTTAAGCGTCCAATGTATGTGTCTTCAAAGTAGTCAATCATATATTGTGTTTCTTTTAGCAAAAGTTGCTAAGCAGAGCCATAGGAAAGCTAAGAAAAAGCATATTATACTAAACAACAAAATAAATAGAACATTTAGCTCAAGACAATATTAAATTCAGCTTCCTATTTTTTCAAGCCTCTTTCCCATACATTAATCCAAATACATTCACATCTTGACAAAAATGAGAAAACCACTACAGAAGTTGTCAGTGATAGTTTCCCGCTAGTGTCCATTAAAAAGCAATTAAAATTATTAAAATATGAAACTTCCCTAAAAGTCTGAAGTAGATTTATTTTTCTGTCTGGCAGTTATTGTAATAACAGTAACAAGTAGTGACTATGCAGTCTATAATGACTTAAAGGAGTTCAAATATAGAATCAACAGTCTTAAAAGTATTGTTAGGTCTCAAAAGAAGACATTTGCGTGGCCAACGAACATATGAAAAAAAGCTCAACGTCACTGATCATTATCCAACTGAATTACCATATGGCCTATCTTGATTTAAGTATTATCCTCAAAAGTCTTGTATATCTTCTAGCGAACAGATAGTGAACTCTCATAGTCTCTGAGAATTCTAAATTTGATTCTAGTTGCCAGGGAAACTGTATTGAATATGACAAAATTTCTATCCTCTTGGTGCTTAAATTCTAGTAGGAGAAAAACAATAAATAATAAATAAGTAAATAGGTAAAAAAGTGAGATTACTTCTAAAAGGGATTGAGATGAAGAAAATAAAGCATTCATTTTTCCGTCATGTAATGGAATAGGGAGTCACTGGGTGGCTATTTCAGGTCAAGTGGTTAGAGAAGACCTCTTTTAGGTGACTTTTAAGCTGATTTGAATGAAGTCATTCAAGGAGTCAGCCTTGAAAATATCAGGAATAGGAAAAAAGTCAAGGGAAAAGGTCATGGTGATTAGGAAAAATAAATATTAGACATGGGGACTGTCTCACCTATCTTGCAATCCTAATTTTCTCTAGGTCATCTAGTCATTCTTACCTTTCCAGAAAGCTGTACTACTGCTAAGTAGACAACCAAGGACCCATTACTCTCTTAACTGTGAAATCAGGTGTAACCCATTCTGGAGGTTGGGGCGTAATGAGAAATTGCAAACCGCTATGGCTACTTCCATTTGATGACCATAGCAATCCAAAATTCTGGATAACTGTTTTTGAAAGAGCATATGATCATAGGGAGAAAGCAAAAAGACAGTGAAGTATTAATGAGAATTCACAACTACAGGAGATGCAAGTCATAAAGGATGCTGTATATACAGAGAACAGCATAAGGTTTTCTTCTGCCATAGATAAGTGGAAAATCTGAGGATGTGTTCAAGGAAAAGAAAGAAATTCAGTTTAGCCATAGCACAGAACAAATGAAGGTACAAAAGTGATAACTGTAGGATGAGAATAATATATTGAATATTTTTTATGCCAAGTTAATGCAGTGGAACTTAATTCTGTATGAAACTGAGAGCTACAGAAAGTTTTTGAGGATGGTAATGACTTTTCTAGAAGCTGGGTGCAGAACTGGGAAGTAGGAAGACTAGTTAGAAAGCTACAGTAATAATTCAAGTAAGAACTGATGGCTTGAACTGGTCTGATGGTAGTGGGTTATCAGAATTTATTAGCATTAGTGTCACTAAAGTTGGTATACAGCCCTCCACTGCTAAATTTGACTGGCTTAAAAAAAAAAAAAAAAAAACAGAAAAAACCTGATGGCTTGAACTGAAGTAGTGAATTCATTTTTTTGGCAATTACTCTTTGAAATGTTAAATGTTCACAGTGGGCAGAGTGCAGTGAAGAAGAAGTTCTGACTTGACCATATTCTGTTCACTGTTTTCCACCATTGCTGGTGGAAATGGAATTTGAGTAACTTTTCTGTTGTACAATCTGATGTGACTGGATGATTCAAGAGACAATAGAGAAATGGTCAAAAAGACCTGAGGACTGATAGGTATCAAGGATGAGAAAAAAGAAACTATTGAAGATAATTATGAAGTTTCAAGTCTCATTGTCCATGATGATCAAATTATTAATAGAAATGAGGAAGCTGGAAAGGATGGAAAAGAGCAGGAGAGCAAACTCAGAAGACCATGAAGGCCTGCCCTTGCTTCACCATTGAGATGATAGGTAACCTTGGGCAAACTCACTTCAACTTATTGTTTGTATTAACATGTATAAAATGGTGCAGAGGGCAGTTGAAATAGATTACTGCAAATGTCCTTTCCAGATTGACGATTTTGAGATTTTAGGGCTATGGCTGTGATCACATTAAGCTTTTAATTTCAGAGAAATCTGAACTTTTAATTTCCGAAAAATTATAAACTTGAATGTATAATTGTACACTATTTTTGCAAGATAAATGTTGCTTTAAACTGCATATTTTTAAGGCTTTTGACACAGTATCAGACTGTATTATGAAAAATTTGTCTGGAACACTTCCATCAGTAATATACCATTGTGTATTTTGCTGTATCCCTGAAAATAAAGACATTTTTACATTTACAAAAGTAATTCCTAACCTGGGGGACATAGCAAAACCTTATCTCTACATAAAGTACACACACACACACACAATTAGCCAGGCGTGGTGGTGGGCACCTGTAGTCCCAGCTACACAGGTGGCTGAGGCAGGAGAATCGCTTGAGCCTAAGAGGTCAAGGCTGCAGTGAGCCCTGATCATGCCACTGCACTCTTGCCTGGGTGACACAAGACGCTGTCTCAAGAAAGAAAAAACAAAAAACTCAACAAATGAAAAATAGTACCACATTTTAATTTCTATTTGAATATAAAAAATTAAACACATGCTTATTGGACCTATGTATTTCTTTTTATTCAAGAACTCTATCCAATATATACACATTTTCCTTTTGGCTTTTGTCATTTGTGTATTTAAGACTTTGAATAATGTTTTTAAATGATATTAACTTTAATCTTTCATACACCTTTCAGAAATTTACTATTCGTATTTTGTTTTGTGTATTTTGTAACACACAAGTTGTAAATGATTATGTATTGTTTTTCTGTTCAGTTCCATCTTTCATTTTTATGCTTAACAATGTCTTCTTAGTCATATATGCCCGCCTACATTTTCTTCTAGTTCTTTCATTAGATATATCTAGTATTAATTCATCACCCATTTGATGCATGGTATTTTTTTTTCATGATGGGGACATGAAGTAAATATTCTGATTTTTAAATGTTTCCATTATAATTGGCTACCATTGTCAATTTTCTTATTGATTCTGATACTTGTTCAGTTTCTTAGTTTTCCAGGTAATAATTTATCTGCAAGTCAGTGTAACTTAATTATTTATTTTTTAATAGCTCAGTATTCTCATTGCCTTTTGTTGTTTCATTGAGAACTTCCAGTACAATGTTAGGAGGGGGAAAAAAACAATGGGAATGGCACCAATCCTTCTCTTGTTCATCTTTATATTCCTTAGAACATACGGAATGCGTTCTGACATAGAACTTATTGAAGAGTAATTTGGAATTTTCTGATGAATCAACCGTTGTCTTTAATCTTCACAAGTTTGAAAGGTATACGTTATTGTTCCCATTTCCCAGATGGAGAAATTGAGGTTCAGGAAGGTTACACAAAGTCCCGGGTCTAAGAAAAATGTCTCCCAGATTCCAAAAGATGTGTCTATTTTGCTAATAGTGGCCATTCAAGCATTAGGGGAAAGGTTGCCCGTGGTATCGCTGGTGTTTCTTCTTCCCACTTTCAAATCTAGAATAGTAAAATAGCAAAAATCCCAACGGGCATGAGAGTTATCATAGTAGATAGGGTAGGTTGGTTCTCTGCTATGGTCAACGTCAGCTCTGTGGCGAGGCGGGTTCTCCCAACAATAGTCCACACCATTTCCAGGCTTTTCTCGGCGACGGGCAGCCCAGAGTGCGGAACTTCTCTGGATGCGCCCGGCCCCCAAAGCGAGGAGACAAGACAGCCCCGATTCTCCGCAGCCCCAGGTTTACTCGTCAAGGACCGAGGGGCCTCTCAGCTCCGACCGCCTCCTCTCCGCCCCCTGCAGGCCGGCCGGAGGGACAGCTCAGGGCCCAGGTCCGCGAAGGGAGCACGGAACCAAAGAGCGCTAGCGCCGGTCCGGCCATCTTTCCACAAAGCCCGGGCCGGTCCGCCCCGCCGCGGAGACTCAGCACGGATCGCGGCTCCCTACCGCCATGGCGCGGGTGCTGATCGTGGGCGCCGGGGTGACAGGAAGCTTGTGCGCTGCGCTGCTGAGGAGGCAGACGTCCCGTCCCTTGTACCTTGCTGTGTGGGACAACGCTGAAGACTCAGGTGAGTTGTCTAAACGCCGAAACCTGGGAAAAGAGGCCAGCCGGCCGGGCTGCTGAGGTGGTGTGGGCCTGCATCCGAGAAAGTCTAAGGCGACAACGCTAGATCCTCAGCTCCCTGAGAGGCCGTGTAACCCGGCCCATGCGCTCAGCTGCGCGCCTCGTCACGTGATCGGGGACTTCCGCCGCCCGGGAAAAGGCCCAAGAAGGGGCGAGGGTGGGGGCGGGGCAGGAGTACTCCGCGCTCTACAGAGGGAGACCTGAGAGAGCAGCGTGGGAGGTGCCCCGACCCGAGTTTGCAAAGCTTGGGCCTACAGCTGTCCCTAATAAATAGATTTTTGCCTTGGTCTGTCTGTTGGCTTTGCAGCTTTCTGCAGATTATGAGACTCCCAAAGTGATTACAGACCAAGACTTTCTGAAGATCTAGTTTGCAGAATCCTGTCATTTTGATGAAGATTGACTGCATGAATGAAAGAGCATTAGCTGACTCATTTATTCTGACATTTCATTCATCATTTTTAGTTTTATCCATTCACTGACACCTATTACTAAATATGTGCGCTATAATGGTGCTGGACACTTTTACATTGTTCATGACTCCTTTTCTTCTAAAATCTCACAATCTATCAAATACTTCAAGTTAAAAAGGTTTCTTAAGATATTTTTGAAGTAATCTGTTTGGGGTAACCTAAGGTGCATTGAATTAATTGCTAAGGCTCATTCTAATGCAGTAAGACATTTTCCTGTGGATTAATTCAAGGTGGAAGAATGACTACAGCCAGCAGTCCTCATAATCCTCAGTGCACAGCTGACTTGGGTGCTCAGTACATCACCTGCACTCCTCATTATGCCAAAAAGCACCAACGGTGAGTTAGTTGCGAGAAGTGGAATCAATCTTAGTTGTATGATGTCATAGGGTTGCTGTGAAGGTTAGATTAGCTGATAAATGGAACATAGTAAGGGCTCAATAAATATCAATTACTATGTTGGTGTTACGGAAGAAGGCAACTAGCTGTGATGGGGGTCAATCTTCTGAACCAAATTTAAAATTGATATACTAAATACATTCGTTTGCTTTCATTAACTTTACTTCAAAAATGTACTTACAGGGAAATAGCCCTTTGACTAATGTCAGCAAAAGACCTATGAATTCTCAAAACATTTCTCTTCTTCACTTGTATTATAAGTTTTATTTAACACAAATTATACATTTTATTTAATACAAAATATTCATAGGAAGATATCTATGATTTTGAATTATAACCTCTAAGAATTATTGAAAGAAAATATAGTCTTTTAGAGCTATTCATGGTATATAATTACATTAAATATATATATTGATTTATTTCAGTTTTTATGATGAACTGTTAGCCCATGGCATTTTGAGGCCTCTAACCTCACCTATTGAAGGAATGGTGATGAAAGAAGGAGACTGTAACTTTGTGGCAACTCAAGGAATTTCTTCAATTATTAAGCATTACTTGAAAGAATCAGGTGGGAGTAAGATTTTCTCTGCCTAAATTTTAAAATTAGCATTTAAAAACAAGTTACACACATAGTTACATATTAATACTACACAGGAAGTTATAAAAATTAGGTGCTCTATTTGCTGATCAATAGCTAGTCCTTCCCCAAAGTAATCATTGATAAGTTTCCAGTGTATATTTCCAGAACAATGTTTATGCATCTCTCTATTGAGCTACATGGCTGTCTCTATTTATCTATAGTATAGATATTATAGATGTGTGTATATATATACATATATATTTCTTTATATTGTTTAAAAAATATACTCAAAGGGGATAATTTTACATAAATGATTCTATACCTTGTTTGACTCATATCTTGGATCTATTTTCATATCAGCAAATTTAGTGTAATCCATTTTCTTTAATGATTGTCTAATATTTATGACATATGTGTACCATCATTTATTTAACTATTAGCTTTCTGGTAAATATTTAGGCTGTATGGGGTTGGAAGATTGTTTTGGTTTTTGCTAATACAAACATTGCTGCATGTCTACTGTTGACATGCTTTTGGAAGCATACCTTTATTTAGGATCAGTTCCTCACAGAAGAATAGCTATGCCAAACGATATGTGCATTTTTAACTTAGCTAGGTTGTGCTGTGTATTCGTCTTAGAGAACATCTCACCAATAGTGATGAGAATGTTTCTTTCCCACATCTGGGTATAATGGAAATTTTTAATTTTTGCCAGTGTAATAGGTTAAAAATTGGATCTCTTTGTGGTTTTATTTTGCATTTCTTTAATTACAAGTGAGTTTATGCATTTTTTTTGTTTTGTTAGCCAGCTCTTTGCAGTTTTCTTCTGTGAATGTCTTATTCATAACCTTTGCCCATTTTCTATTAGGATTTTCATTTGTTCCTTATATGTTTTATGAGTGTTTTGAAAATGGACCTTTTAAAAAAGAAAATATAATTTTTCTTAGATAATTGATTGATTTTTTTTTAAAACAGAATGAAGCTTCTTGATGAATCATAATTTAGTTAAGTACCCGAGTCAAGATAACTGAGAAAGGATGTAGGCTAAGAATTTTTTTTATAAGCCATTTCCAGCATAATTACTGTTTTGGTCTTTATCATCAAATATTACTTATTGAGAACCTCAAGAATCCTTGATACTGGGCATCAGAGAGGTTAGTGAGATTGAATAAACAACATGAGAACATAATAAATACCATTCTGGCTTAAACTATTTCTTCATTTAAGATTCAGTATATGATGGTTTATTAGACTACTCCAGAGAAACAGAACCAATAGGGTATATATGTATATGTGTGTGTGCATGTGTGTGTGTATGTGTGTATGGATAAAGAGAGAGATTTATTATAAGGAATTGGATCACATAATTAAGGAGGCTGATAAGTTCCAAGATTTGCAGGATGATTCAGCAAGGTAGACACCCAGGAAAGCTGGTGATATAGTTCTAGTCCAAGGGCTGGCAGGCTCAAGACTCAGGAAGAGCCAGTGTTTCAGTTCTACTCTGAAGGCTGGAAAAAAGCTGATGAGCCAGTTCAAAGGCTTTCAGGCAGGAAGAATTCTCCTTTATGTGAAGGAGTATCAATGCGTTTGTCATATTTAGGCCTTCAACTGATTGAATGAGGCCCACCTACATTAGGGAGGGCAATCTGCATTATTTGATCTACTGATAATAAATGTGAATCTCATCTAAAAACATGCTCATAGAAACACCCAGAATAATGTTTGACCAAATATGTAGGCACCCTATGGCCAAGTCAGGTTGACACATAAAATTGACCATCGCAGATGGTGACACTATTGAATGTTTTATAGAATATTACTATCAGCTTTATATAGTGTGGCCATATCACTTTAAAAAATCTCGTTTCCACCATGATTTTCCCTTAACCCAGGTTGGGTGAGTATACTTATTGAAATCATCAGGTACTTACTATCCGATATTCATGCATGCATGTGCAGGAGCTTAGAAAATGATATCCCAAAATGAAGCCCTCAGAAATGCTCTCTTTGACCTTCTCCTGCCCTCCTATCTCTGGCCTTGCATTCATCCCTGAGGCTAGCCCTAGAAAATAGAATCTCTTTTCCCAAGGCAGGTCATAGAAATAAGAACTCCCTTTCCCCCTAAACCAGCCATAAAGCCTAAGACTATCACTGTAGCTTTCCCTGCCTTCCTTTGTAAAAACTGGTCATAAAGAAATTATCTGACCTACCATGTTTGATTGTAGCTCATAACAGTTCCAGAGAGGGTCATGACCCTTAACCGTAAAGAAAGAATGCTGCATAGAGAGGTCAAGAAGAATCTAGACAGACAGACCTTGATGGATTTCACCAGTTTGTTAGCCATAGATATAACCCTTTGTCCAATCATATTGCTGCACAGCTGTCCATACGTTGTTGAATCTAAGCAAAAAAAGTTGACTCCTGTATCTTTGGGTCTTCAGTCTGAAGGTGTCAGTGTGCCAAGACCAGCTCAGTTGGGGAGACCCTAACAAGCAGCGCTAGAGGAATTAAAGACACACACACAGAAATATGGAGGTGTGAAGTGGGAAATCAGGGGTCTCACAGCCTTCAGAGCTGAGAGCCTTAAACAGAGATTTACTCACATGTTTATTAACAGCAAACCAGTCATTAGCATTGTTTCTATAGGTATTAAATTAACTAAAAGTATATCCCTTATGGGAAACGGAGGGATGGGCCGAATTAAAGGAATAGGTTGGGCTAGTTAACTGCAGCAGGAACATGCCCTTAAGGCATAAATCACTCATGCTATTGTTTGTGGCTTAAGAATGCCCTAGAACTTAAAAAGTATAATAAAATAAATAAATGAATAAAACCTCACCAAAAAAAAAAAAAGAAAAGAATACCTTTAAGCGGTTTTCTGCCCTGGGCGGGCCAGGTGTTCCTTGCCCTCATTCTCATAAACCCACAACCTTCCAGCTTGGGCGTTAGGGCCATCATGAACATGTTACAGTGCTGCAGAGATTTTGTTTATGGCCAGTTTTGGGGCCAGTTTATGGCCAGATTTTGGGAGGCTTGCTCCCACCACAGTGTCATGAAAAACTATGATTAAATAAATTTGTATGCTTTTTCTCATATTAATATGCCTTTTTTCAGTTGATTTTTTTTGAACTTTCACCCCTACACATGCATACATACATACATACATACATACATATATCCTTTTGTTCAATAAACATTTATTGAATACTTACTATAATGCCAAACATTGTTCTAGGTACTAATGATGCAAGAACCAATGTCCTTGCCTTCATGGAGTTGATATCCTGGCAGAGAAACATCCTTGAATACATTGCATCTGTCTCCTTATTTTGTTAGGTGTTTGGGAGAATACATACGTTTTAACTTCCAATTTTGCTTTTTAAGCTTTTGAGGAAGAGATTATTTTTAATTCCTTGTAGCTCACTCAGAGCCTAATAGTACCTTGTGCCTAGTAGGTAGAGTGATATAAATGTTAAAAATTTATTTTACATCGAGTTCATGGTCTATTTAACTTGAGTTTATATAAATTTTTCTTTCGTTTTTTAATGTTATTTTTGTAATACTTCAAGATTCTTTTTCTCCTCTACCCCAATCTATTATTATAGGATTTGTTGGACTACCTATAATATTTTTAATTTTATAATTATATCACTTTTAAACATTCTTTAAGTCCATTTAAAGCTTTCTATTCTATAAATGGTCCACAAAAACATTTGGTTTGTCCACACAGTAAGCTAAGACAGTCCCTGATATCAGAATGACCTGGATTCCAGTTAATGTCCTACCATCACTTTCTGTCCATGTAATATTAGGAGAGTTCAAAATCTGTACCTCAGTTCTTTTACTGAAAAAAATGAGGGTAATGAAATGAAAAAAATAGGGTACTTACTACAGAATTTTGTAATGGAAGTTCTTACTACAAAGTGGTGTGAGGAATTAATGATATAATGCACTCAAATTCAAGCAAATAGTAAGCCAGTCACATAGTAATCTCTTGATAAATGTTAGTTTAAAAAATATTCTACTTGAATGAAGCTGACCTTCACATATTCCTCACTTTAAGACATCAAATTGCCAACTATTTTCAAAAATACTCTATATTTTCGAATCTAGTTGAGTTTAAAACCCCACAATCTGATGGACCAACTAGTGGTCATTCGGATTGGGACCAGACTTCCAGGAAAATTATTTATCTGGGATATGCCTAATCAGGCATGCTTTAGAATAGGTTCAAACCTTTAAAGCCAATATTTAACTAGACTAATTTCCCAGAACAAACAGTAAAGGGTAAGGGAAATAGATACTTTATTCTTGACCTTATGTTCTATTTTAATTTATTGTCTGATGTGTTCACATTAACCTCATTGCAGATAAAACTGTATGTATTGGCATGAGTTTCACTGACTGCCTGCCTTCTCCATTAATACAATCTTCTTGAGTGAGTGAAACATGATTTTCTTTTGTTCTTTTTTTTTTTTAATAATAGTTGTCATTATGCTGGAGTGAGAAATGACAATAGCAAAAGTGATTCTAGCTATCTGTTATTAAGTGCTAACTATTTATCTGACACTACCTTAGGTACTTTACGTATGTAATTTCTAATTCTCACAGTAAATTTTCAAGGGAGTTAATCATCATCCCTATTTATTAATGCAGAGAATAAGACTCAGGTACTTTGTCTAAGGTGGCTTGGCTAGTTGGTAACAGAACCGGAGCGCCCTTGCAATTAATCATGTTGTTTTTTTCTATTAAGTCTCTCATGGAGGGCAATGAGAGGTGCTCATACTCTCCAATTTAACATCTATTTTGTAGAGCTTTCTCTTTCCTTACTGATTATTTTCCTACAGTAGGAAGATTGTACCCATTGCACCTGGTGCTACGTGTCAGTAGACACATGGTTCAATAGAACAACCTCATAGTTCCCTGTGCCCCTAGTTTCCTTCTTTCATCAGTTAATTCCTGACATAGGGGGAGGTGGATATTAAAAAGTAATACCACCTTAGTTCTTTGTGCAACCTGGAAAACTGGTCACCTGATGGTTCCTGCATATGACATTTGGAAAATGATGGACCAGGTCATTTTGCTTTTGAATAAGGTCCCATGTTATTAAGTTATTCATAAAAAGATGAATTTAGCCTCCAGGACACAGAGTGAGAAGCTTTTATTTAGCTTTTCCTACCAACAGGGAGGACTGTTGCTGCATTTATTTGTTTTTATTTTATCATCTACGTAAAAAGGACATTGGCTAGCGATCTGGAAAGTCAACATGTGCAATGTAACCTGTCAAAGTAGACAGGATCAATGTATTAGAAAAAATGGTTTAGGTGGCAGATGCCATTAGCTAGGATGGCTTCTGTATGGTAATATTTACTTTTATTATTCTCTCTCTTTTTATTTTTGTGCCTATTTTCTTTCTAAAATTGATAGAGGGGAAGTGAGTCTGGGTGGTTCTGTCTCAGAATTTCTCCCAGCGGGTGATCTTGGCACTCATCCGTAACGATGTCCTTTTTAGAGAAGCTAGAGGATGGCATGAAAACCAGGTGAAGCATTCTTCTATTGACTTCAAGCTGTGGAGTCAGTTAGACATGGTTTACATCACTTCAGGTCCCATCTGAGCAGTTCTGACTGCTGCTCACTAAAACCTATTTGTGGGAAATCATAGGAGAAACATAAACTTGGATTTTCTCCTTAAAACGGAGGAGGGCCAGGGATAAAATTGAATAAATATATAACAGAAACACATTTGCCTTTGTAAAATGTTTAAACCTTCTTAGACTTCTGATATCTTTATAGCCATCTGAAGATCATTTTATTCTAATTAAATATTATGTGCTGGGGAAACAAGAGTCAATAAGAGACATGATCCTGGCCTCTGTTAATGTAGAGTATAGTGGGAAGAAAATACATTAAACTAATTAAACAAACAAAGAAAAGATGCATGATAAATGTTAAGAAGAAAGAGAGCATTATGAGAGAGCTTACAATAAAAGGACCTAGCCCAGTAGGTTATAGAGGAGTGATGGGGGAGATGTGTTAGGGAAAGCATCCCTGAAGAACTGATATTTTCATGGGTACCTGAAAGGTGAGCAAGAGGGAATTAGGCTGAGAGCTGAATGACGAGAGTTCCTGCAGTGGGCACATCAAATTGGAACTGTTCTGAAGTAGTAGGAGGAGGTTAGTGCATTCAAGGAATAAGAGGTCATTGTGACTGGAGGGTAGTGAGTGAGGGAGAAAGTAGAAAAGATGATGCTGAAGACTAAGGCAGGGCCAGATTATACGGGGCTTTGTAAGCATTGTTAAAGATTTTATACTCTAAGTGCAATGGGAAGCCATTGAAGGGTTTTGTGCAAGGGAGGGACATGGTCAAATTTACTAAGCTCAGAAGTAACTCTTGAGACAATTTATCTGTTTTAAAATTGAGTTTTCCAGAACTTATAGATTTAAACACATTGTCTTTATGAAAGTTATTAATTACTTTCACAAGGAAATGCCACTTTCCCAAAAACTTTGCTCTGAGCAGTTGGAAAGGAAACGTTTCTGGTTAATAAGAGAGGCTATACTATTTCCCCTACCTCTTGATAAGTGCTACTTTTTGGGCGGTTTTGCCAGTGGTGTTTGATTTGGGCCTGTCCACCTACCCCAGTGGTTCTCATACTTTAGTGCGCATGATGACAAGACTAAGGGAACTTGTTAAACACAGATTGCTAGGCTTAATTCCTAGAGTTTCTTATTCTGTATGGTTGGGTTGGGGCCCAGGAATGTGCATTTTCTAGTACATAGGTGCTGCTGGTCTGGGGTCTGTACTTAGAGAACCACTGACACACACATATATATATACACACAAACACACACACACAGACACACACACATATATATATATACCTATACCTTGCAGAACACTTTGTGACCATTGAGATACATTTTGAAGGCATTCATCTGGCGCATGAAGAATTTTCTAGAACTGTGAACTTAAGTCCCCTTAAACACACACTCATGCCAGCAACAACAACAGCATGTTGTTCTTTTCAAAGGAATATTATGAGAAAACATAGAATCAGTTGACTTAGCTGAGGTCTGGGACAGGGCCACGGACTAAGTGAGGCAAGTAGGGTGAGACATCCTAAATAAATAAAAACAGAGTGAAGCAGAGCTACCCTTGTTGGAATAAAGGAGATGGTGGATGTGTGTTGAAAGTGCAGATTATTTGCACCTTCCCCAAGCAGGGGCCTTAGAAAAGCCCTCAGGCAAGATGGAGTACTGTTTACAAGCCCCTTGCTCTAATCTTTGAACAGAATGATGCACACTGCCTTGAACAGAGATTCATCCCTTGGGCTAGTTAGAACTATGTTTCTTCTAACATTTACATTTGATTTTTTAAAAATTGGAGTGCTTACTAGGGTGTGGCATTATTTAAGGGTCAATGAAAGAGATAAAGGTGTATGAGATCTGAAGACGTGACATGAAGGAGCCTTGAGTATTATTACATAGATAAGATACAACTAAAGCATGAAGATATTTTAAATCAATGTCTAAATGAGTAGTAAAGCAGTGATGGTTGAAGAATATCATAGAGAGGAAGGATCACACTGAGCTGGAGTGGCTACAGAAAGGAAGCTTTGGGATGAACTTTAGCTGGATTTTTAGTGACTGGGAACATGAGATTACCCAGGTAAAGATGAATAGAATCTTTCAGTGTACTTTTTTCCTCCCTCATTACGTCTTCATTTCTTTCTTTTTCAATACACAAAGCTGAATAAAAGTAGATTTACTTGTAAATCAAATTTTTTTGGAAACTGGAAGGTGAGTACTAGTTTACTAAGAAGACTTTATGACCTAATTGTACTTTCTTTCAGTTTATGGTTCATAATTCACTCTTTTTATTTTAATTTTTTTGAGACAGAGTCTTGTTGTGTTGCCTAGGCTGGAGGGTAGTGGTGCAATTTCAGCTCACTGCAACCTCTGCCTCCCGAGTTCAAGTGATTCTCGTGTCTCAGCCTCTTGAGTAGCTGGGATTACAGGCATGCACTACCACATCCAGCTAGTTTTTATATTTTTAGTAGAGACAGGATTTCACCATGTGGTCAGGCTGGTCTCGAACTCCTGACTTCAAGTGATCCACCCACCTCAGCCTCCCAAAGTGCTGGGATTACAGGTGTGAGCCACCGTGCCTGGCCTCATAGTTATTTTAAATAAATACATACCTAATAAATTCTATGCTATGTATACTATATGCTATACATAGAAGCAAAACAGGTGTAATTTGTAGCTCATGGGGTTTACAGATTAAAAGGGGAGACAATATTAAAGAAATAATTGTTAAAATATCCTTGTGTTAAGTGCTAACAAGGAAAATGTTATGGGAGGGTACTCTAGAGTATGTTTCTAAATTCTGATTCTTCTTAATAAAGACAATTGATCTATTGATGAGAACTTACATTTCCCTTACAGAGAACTTTTTTCCGGTCCTTTAATAGGAAATATTAATTCTTTTAATAGGGAATATTGCTCTTTTTGTTTCATTGCTAACACACATGTTTACTGAAATGTGTACTTGTTCTGCAAAAATGATGAGCTGTAGCGTCAGATGGGTATAGTTTTAAATCATGGCATGCTATTTCTCAATCTATTTCCTTGTCTGTGAGATGAATTAATATAATGTGTACCAAGCAGCTGGCATATAGTAGCTGCTTAATGAAAAGTAGCTATAGTTATTTTTTTCATTTTTATCATTAATTGTAGGAGCAGTTTTTGATTCAGAGCAGGCACTGATAGGGAGGTCCAAGGATGCCAGGTAGGGATGAATTCCTACTAAATTAGAAAGATAGTAAAGGAAGAGAATTTGAGTACTGTAGAAGACAGTCTTGGCCATTTTGTTCACTTGAATGGATTCAGATTGTGACTACTCATATCCCCCTCATTCATATATGAAATTCTGATAATGGGGACATGATTTTGCTTTTGGAACAGGTGCAGAAGTATACTTCCGACATCGTGTGACACAGATCAATCTAAGAAATGACAAATGGGAAGTATCCAAACAAACAGGCCCCCCCGAGCAGTTTGATCTTATTGTTCTCACAATGCCAGTTCCTCAGATTCTGCAGCTTCAAGGTGACATCGCCAACTGTGAGTCTGTGTTTGCCATTTACCTGCCTCCCGGAATGGGATTTCTTTGATAAAGCATGAATTTGGTCTAACTCTCTTAGCCAAGGACAAGTGATAGACTCTATTGATTTGCCTGTCTTTAACACTGATACTTATGGCCCTCTTTGTGATATTAGTCTAGGCCAAAATGAAACCCATAGGATTTTTTTTTAACTGGTTAAAAGTTGAACACTTTTGTTATTGCCCATGTCTTCAACAAGTCAGTATTATTGATGGATATGCAATGATTTCGCCTAAAGGAAGAGCAGTGTTTATGGCCATTTTTAAGAAAAGGTTTTTATGTACAAGTGCTTGCTTGGATTGCCTCATTTCCTATGTTCTTGTTCTCTGGGTTGCTCTCTGATTGTATTTACTTCTGTTTGAGGCAGTTGCCTAGCCCTTTTGTGAATGAGAGGCATGAGAAGGAATGGGTGAGAGGTGATGAGTAATTTATGCTGAAGAAGCTAAAATTATGCCAGAAGAGCCAAATTTTAATAAAGCAACTAAAATTCAAAGACAATTTTTATCCTTGCTAAGTCTTTAGATACTGCAATTGGTTTAGCATTATTCACTTTATCTTAGATAGTAACCTTTGTTTAATTTCTTTTTGATATAAAAGGTGGTGGTGAAAGTATGTGCAGAGGGTCTGATTTCCTATCTTTCCCCAAAGTAGACGCTAACCTACAACTACCAATTTAGAAATGTCATTTACCTGCTTATATCTTTCCTAGTTGACAGCAGCTATTTACTCTCAGAAGTGGGAATAGTGGAGGTGGTATAGCTAAGGTTTTCTTAGGTGGATACCTAAGATTTTCTTCATGATTCCTGAGGGTTCCTGGTGCACTGCCACCAGAAACATGTGATAAATCCACAGACATCTTTTTCCTGCCACTTTGACTCAGCACAGATGAGATGTAACTCAGTGCAGGTGGGATGGCAGTGGTAGAGTTTGCACTTCTACTGCCAGAAATGCTGGGGATAGTGGGAAGGAGAAGAGAGTACGCCAGTGGCCACATTAGAATTTCTACTGTACGTGTGAACAACGGGAGACTTTGGGTTTATTCTAAGTCAACTCTGAGATCCAGAAGTGAACAGGACGACAGTGTCAGCAAAAGGCACATGTGAGGAGTCCGAAAGGTAAAATTCCTGTACTAAGTAGTAGGAAGGGATTCAGATATGAGAAACCAAAAAGGAATAAAGGTATTAAGTACTGGGGCAGGGAGGATACATTTCTCCAAGAAGTTGCACTTGCTCAGTTAGCTTTTGTTTCATCAGGCCAGTTTTCCTTACTGATACCAAAATCCTAGCTGAGGGTGTTCATTTTAATCACAGAAACTTAGAATTGAAGGGAGTCTTAGAGAGCATGTGGTCTCATCTTTTAGCCCTTGCATGAGTCCTCTTTTATTAAATCACTTTATTGAGTATGACTGACATATGAAAAGCTGTATATACTGTATACAGTGTGATGAATTTGGAGATAAGTATACATTCTTAAAACCATTATCACAATCTATGCCATCAACATATCCACATCACCTCCAAAAGCTTTTTCCCCTTTATAAGTTATTTTTTTCTTTTGTAATAAGAATGCTTAGCATAGGCCAGGTGTGGTAGCTCACACCCGTAATCCCAGCACTTTGGGAGGGCGAGGCAGGAGGGTTGCTTGAGCCCAGGTGTTCAAGACCAGCCTGGGAAATATATCAAGACCTCATCTCTACAAAAAAAAAAGAAAAAAAAAAGAAGAGGAAGAAAGAAAAAAAAATGTAGCAAGGCATAGTGGCATGTGCCTGTAGTCCCAGCTACTCAAAAGGCTGAGGCAGGAAATTGCCTAAGCCTGGGAAGTCAAGGCTGCAGTAGGCCCTGATTGTGCCACTGCACTCTAGCCTGAGTGACAGAGCAAGACCCTGTCTCAAAAAAAAAAAAAAAAAAAAAAAGAATATATAACATATTAGATGTACTATTTTAACAAATTTTTAAGTATACAATATGATATTATTAACTATAGACACTAGGCTATACAGTGGATCTCCAGGATTTACTTATCTTGCATAATTGAAACCTTGAAACTTTTGACTAAAGTGCCCTGTTTTTCCTTCCCCAACCCCCTGGAATAAGAATTATATAAAAAGCCCTAGCTGGCAACAATCTGGTGAGAACATTACCTTTAGAATGGGTGTGCCCCATCAGTGTCATTGTGCCACTGCCCAAGACTTAAATTTCAAGAGAGCATCCTATTGACCTGACATGGGTTTTATTCGCAACCCGATGGCTAGGGAATTGCAGCATCTTGGATTATAATCCTGTTGCATTGCATGTAATCAGTGGGACAAAGTAACACTTCAAAATAAATATAAGTACTGCTTATGAAGAGAACTTGTGTGCTGAGTAATCAAGAACAATGACTTTTCACTGCATAGGTGTTCTTTAATATTTGTGAAATGAGTGAATGACCAATTGATCGACTGAATGAATGTGTTTCCAAAAGACCTTAGGAAAAACTTCACTGGTCCGTATTACTTCTTCACCTTCTCTGTAAAATTCTCATTAATAGAATCCCATAATAGACTTTTTTCTTATTCTTTTCATATTCTCTTTTCATTAAATGTGGATTTGTATGAAGAAGGAAAGAAAAACTCTATATTGACAGGGGCCTTATGTTTTAATGCTTTTTATGTAAATCTGAATTTGGCTTGCTAATACGTTGTTTAGGATTTTTGCATTCATGTCCACGAGAATGATTGAGCTGTAGTATTTTTTCTTGTATTAATTTCTCCAGTTGTTCGACATGGAGGTATGTAGGTCTCATATAATTATTTGGGCAATGTTTCCTGTTTCTGTTCGGGGGAAGCATTTTTATACAAGTTTGGTGTTATTTCTTTCCTAAATGTTTAGAAGAATTCACTAGTAAAACCATTTAGGCCTAGAGTTTTCTTTGTGGTAAAATTTTAAATTACAGACTCCATTTCTTAAAGGAATCTATTCAGATTTCTTTGTTTATTCTGTTTTTTCTCAAGGTGCTAGAATACCATGATATAATCGTTTTTAATTTTTTTTTTAGCTTTTATTTTAGGTTTGGGGGTACATGTGAAGGTTTGTTACATAGGTGAACATGTGTCAGTCTTGTTCATATGGCTCGCCACTTATCCCAACGCCACTTATGAAATAGGGAGTCTTTTCCCCATTGCTTGTTTTTGCAGTAGACCTTATTTTTTAAAATACTAGTTGTTTATGCTTAAGTTCAGATCTGAAAATTGTATTTACATATTCCTTTGACTTTCATTAATTTAATTCGTTCTATATGTTCATTTTAATTCATTTACTTTTTATCAATTTACTTATTTTCAAATAGTATGTTGCTCTATATAAAGTTCTATTTACCAGGTAAGAAGGGTGTCCTGAATCAGGCCAGGAGTATGAATTGACATCCTTTTTGGTACTCCAGCTGCTCTCTCTCTCCTTCATCCAGTGTGTCTGGGAAGTCCAATCTAATATCTATATGCCCTAGAATTGAAATCTTAAATCTTTGAGAGAACTTCAGATTTCTCATAACTTTGCTGTTACAAAAAAAAAAATGATATCTTGGTTTTTAAATTGGAATACTTTCCTGTTAAAACCTTAAATATCTAAAACATCTGTTTCAGTTCCTTTTCAGGTCTCTGACCAATATAGCTAAAAGCTGGGTTTTGCTTTTCTTAACAAAGGTTAAAACAAATGTTTCTTAGAAAAATTGCTTGGTAATAGCTATTCCCAGGCCTGACAAAAAGAACTAGAAGGGTACACCATATTATGTTCACATCAAGGGTCTGGGTGCAGAATGTTCACCCTGTCTCTGGTGGATTTTTGTTGCCATTGTTTTGGTTTGTTTTTATGCATGCATCCAAATCACCTGGAAGACTTGTTAAAACACAGATTACTGGGCCACAGTTTGAGTTTCTGGTTGTATGGAGGTATGCATGGACAATTTGCACTTTTTACAAGTTTCTAGGTGATGCTGAAGATTCGGTGTAAAGCCACACTGTAAGAATTATTATTAATACCTTGCCTTAGCAAATCTACTTGTTTCTGGAACAGAGCAACTGATGTATCTTCAAAAAGTGACTCACCTTGTAAACAAGTGATGCTATTGTGCAACCAGGGTTGAGAACTGCTGTCATAAAGCATCAGCCTGTCCAAACAATTTGTATCTCTTTTCCTCACATTTGCACCTTTGCCTTGCATGTATTGATTATATGAACCCATCTTGGATTACTCTTGAGTCTCTGTCTTATGCTCTTCCCTGCTTGGGACTTCTTGGCTCACCTCTTCCCTGACTTCTTCCCCAACCCCTAAGACACACCTCTTAATACAAAACAAAACAAAACAACACAACAGCAGCACACACACACACAAAGTAGCTTTAAGATATGTCACATACCATACAGTTCACCTATTTAAAATGTATAATTCAGTGGTTTTTAGTATAATAACTGATACAGACAACCATTATCAATGCCTGTAATTAGTAAATTTTGGAATATTTTTGTCACCTCAAAAAGAAATTCTGTCCCGTTTAGCTATCACCCCCATCCCTCCATCCCCATCCCTGCCCCCAGCCCTAAGCAATCATTAATCTACTATCTGTCTCTATAGATTTCCCTATTACCTGGATTCCAGATAAAAGCTCATGATGGAGCTGGAGGCCCTCATCCTTAGCAAATTAATGCAGGAGCAGAAAACTAAATAAGCCATGTTCTTACTTTTTTGTGGCTCTGTTTTGCCACTATCTGCACAGATTTCACTTATTTTCTCCTGCTTTCATCATGTCGCACTGACCCTGGCCCATCAGGTCATTGAATTGTAGAGGGTACCTCATCTTTCCTGAAGCCTATGAGTTATAACAGAGTCTGGCGATGGTGGACAAGGCTTCAGGGCTGTGGGATGGCAGTGGGTGTTGACATGCCTGTAGCTTTTTACTTTGTTGCACACCTAACATTGACATTGGA